TGCCACTTGGCCTGGGGTGGGGAGGGAATACTTCAAGCGTGGGGATGGCTAGCCCCATAGAGCCTGCTCTCTTCAGCCCCAGATCCTTCATCATCTTCTTGGACTCTCTCTTTTTTAGTAATGTTTTTACATTTTTATGTTTTATGTATTTATATGTATTTGTGGTTTTAATGTTTTGTGTGAACCGCCCACAGTCCCCCATTGGGGGGAGATGGGCGGGGAGAATTTTAATAAATAAATAAAATAACAGCAAACTCTCACCTCTGTGCCTAATATCAATTGAGAGGGAAGCTTCTGACTGGCCGAGATTATTGGAAGCGTGTAGTGTGAAGTGGTATTCTGTTTGATTCTTCAGGACCAGAAAGTCACACTGAGAAAATTTAGGACCTGCTTCTGCACATGAGATATTTTTCCAAGAGATTCTGAAAAGTTAAACAGTAAGTATGATCAAAAACAGACACAACATCTGATAGAAAAGGTAAGATAAATCACGGTCATGCGGTGATTTCAACAGGGAAATAACTTGACTCAAAGAACAGATGCCATTAAATAAACCATATATTGTTAGCCCTGTTTTCCTACCCCACATCAGTACTGCCATAAGTAGGGAGAGGAAATTGGCTTTGTGATAACCCTTCTTTCTGGCAATGGAGGCTTCAAAGGCAAAAAAAAAAAAAAAAAAAGGAGGGGGAAATGCCTGCATAAGATGGCTAGAATCTTCAAAAGCTGGAGGAAACTTTAGTCTTTGAATCTGAAGTACCCCCCTGGGTAAAGGATTTTTCCCTCCCTCTACTTTTCCTTCCTCTACACAATCTCACCTCTATCCCACATCAATTACTTCTCTCACCATTTATCTTATCCTCAACAGATTGTGTGAATGTGTGAAGGAGCCACTAAGAACTGTAGAAAGGATATCAGGTCTTGGAAAAAGGTTATTTATTTATTAGATTTACAGCCTGTGTTTCCTATGTTTACTACATAATATCCCCTCCTCCTATTTTCCCTCAAAACCATCAGCCCTGAGAGAGAATGGCCCAAAAGACATTCAGTGAGTTTCCATGGCTGGGGGTAGACCGGGTCCCCTCACTCCTAGGTCAACTCCTTGACTCTATACTGGTTCACACTCCTATTAGGCCATCAGAGTAGTTACTCTGATGGCCCTAGAAAACCAAAAGGAGGACCTATGATGATATATGGCTATTTATAATTAGTAGCCCTCTGTAGACTTATCCCATTGTGTTAACCTACAATCTAGCCACTCATATTAAATAAATGGCAAGTTTATCTGAATAATCAGAATATTTCTGTCAACTGTGTCATTCATTCATTCATTCATTCATTCATTCATTCGATAGATAGATAGATAGATAGATAGATAGATAGATAGATAGATAGATAGATAGAGAAACTCCTGCCTGAAAAAATACATGAAAACATACCGTTCAAATAAGGTATATCTGGTTTGTCTTGAGCCATATAACAAGGTGGGCCTTCCCTCCTCCCATCTGCATGTTATTTCCTTATAATTTTGTGTTTCACAGCTTAAATTTTGTGGAACATCAGGAGGATCTATAACAACAAAGAGGAAAGAAGAACAGTTGCCTATATGTACATATTTGTTGAACACTTGTCTCATCTCAGCAATAACTCAGTAAGGTAATTATTAAAAAGGGATTCTTCTTCCATGATCTATTGTTACCACACACAATTCAGCTTACATGAAATGTGTGATGAATGATTACAATACTGATTAATAGAACTGACCACACCAAAACTATACAGCTCCGCAACCTCATTGGTTCTGCAGTGGAACCAATTATGTGGTGTTGTAGTAGAGACTCAGTCTGCTTCCTTTCAGATGTGCTTGGACTACAACTTACAGAATTACCAACCAGCATGGCAAAGAATGTGAAATTCTGGGAACTATAGTCTCAAGAAACATAGAGGGTTAGGGAGAAGATACATGCCGGTCAAGTTCAGGCTTTAAAGCCGATGAAGAAGTGCATCTAATAACATGGTGTCTCTATGCAAAGACATTCAGGGCCCAAATAATCACACAAACAAAAAGTCTCAGAAAGTGTGGCAGTTTCACACAACGTATTTGCACCACTTCCACTTCCCTCTGTAGACCAAAGAACCCAGGCCACCATTTATCTTTGGCAACAGTGCTGATTTACTTCCAGTTCAGGTGCAGTATAACAGAAACCACTCTAAAGCCAATTTTCAGCTCCAGCACTGAAGTTCTGCAGAACTCAGGGATGGCCATTTTTCCCCACTGGGGGGTGGAGTCTTGTCTATTCTTCCTCCTGGCTCCTGAACTTCAGCTGTCCTGGAAAATCTTGTAAGGGGAATGGTGGCTTCCTTGCTTTGTACATTTGTATGCAAGTCACTGGGTTGCTTGGGTTTTTAAAAATTTCTTTCCATTTATGTGTAGCAGTATGACGAATCCTCTGTGCCATCTTTGAGAATATATTTTCTTGGAGGGTGGGAGTACAAAGTGGCATCAAGAAGTGTCAAAAAAATGATCACTTTCCTAGATTTTCAGAAGAAAATCAAGCTCAAATCAAAAAAGCCACTGGCTTCCAGATTGGGATGGAGAATGAATGAGTTTCAGTAGGTAAAGCTGGCATGCCAAACATATCTGGAAATTGTGGCCATTGCTAGACAAGTTTCCATTGATTCATTTAATTCTACATACTTAGCAGTTCAGGGCCAAACTATCTAAAGGAATTTTTACTCCTATATCTAGATCTATATCTGCCACAATCTTTTGGTCATCTTCACTGGTCCCCTTCAACGCCTTTGCTAAATGAAGAAAGGTCTTCTCCGTTGTAGAGGTCCACTAAGAAGGAAATGATTTTAAAAGAAGCATGTTTGGGGTCTACACTGCTCTGTTTTCAATAACAGGAGTTTCATTTTTCTCAATTATTTCAGATTTTGGGAGTTGCGTTTTGAAATGTAAGGCATATATTATACAGAGAAAGCAGCTTTTATGTATTTTATTTTATTTTATTTTATTTCATTTCATTTCATTTCTCATTTTATTATTTTTACCAGCTTTCATTATCTTCGTAATC